ATTGCACATTAAATAACAACTTAACTCTTAAAAAATTATGGGGATTTTCATTAGAACCAGACAAGATCTTAAGTACAACAGTGCCAGATTTTTGTACAATCATCGACTTGCTTGATTCACTTGTCTATCCTGAATCATTATATGAGAACTACGCTACGTTCAAATACCATCCAACTGAATTGCCGAATATACAAAACCAAATCATCCTCTACCGATTTTTTTTGACATCACTAGTCTATTATATTAAATCTATTCAAGAATATGATCACATAAATCAGTCCAAAGTTGAAATCTTCTGATATAGTCAAGCCTCTTTTATATCCTCCTTTTTTCTCTATATACTTTTTAATTTTTAAGAAGATATAACCAAGGTTGATATAACTAAATATATAAAACATACTAAAAAGAGATGTTTTTTTAAACTTTGTATAGAATATAATCAAGATTTTATTAAGAGGAAATAGGATATAATTGAGATTTGACTGTACAATCGAATCATTATACTATCCAACCAGGCTGCGGAATATATAGAACCACATTCTTCTTCACTGATTTTGATTATCTAGTCTATCAGATGAGATCAATAATGCGTAGATGCACCAATTCTAAGTTGAAACCTTTTCTCACATTCATCAGCTTTTTGTTTTCATCTGTTTATCTTCAAGATTACACTATGTTTATATGCATTATCTATATGAGTGCTGCCAAGGCAAAACCTGTAAGCAAATTTGAAGGTATCAATAAGGTAAGTTGAACTGAGAAAATTGTGATATTAAGTATTAAATCATTGCATCATTTAACAAGACTTAGGATCTAACTAAGTTTTGTTAAATGATGACAAATGTATATAATATAGAAACAACCAGAACACTGATTGTATAACATGATTTAATTCACAATTTTCTCAGAGTTAAACTCGCCTTATTGATACCTCAAAATTTGCTTACAGATTTGCCTTGGCAGCACTCATATAATATTGGATTTGTTAAAGTGTCCGCCTAAGTGTTATATGCAAAAACCTGCTAAAATTTTTCATAATTACTCGAAAAAGGATTGTATATAGTAAGTACCAATCTTGTTTTGCTTATATTAGTAGAAGTTAATAAGTATTATAAAATACTTTCCTTAGATCTGTAGCTCTTGGTATAATGCCGCATCCTTGTATAGAGATCTCTCTCTAAACTCATTCAAAGAAACCAAACTTTTAACATGCATTTAAAAAAATGCTAAGAAAAAGTATATTAATGAGAGCCTAGTATATATTTAGCTCAGATCTTAGAAATTTAGAAGTGCGTTTAGAGATTTAGAAAAAAATTATTACTGTTTAACAGAATTTATCTAGAAAAAAGCAGATTTTACGAATAAAAAAAAAAAAGGGGCAAAGTTTACTAAGTAAAATCGAAGTTTATCTGAATAAAAGCAGTTTTTATATAGCATAATAAAGGAAAAACAAATTTTATCTTAAACACATCTGATAAAAAGCAGGTTTTATATATTTTAAATAAAAAACGCAGATTTTACATTGCAATTTTAGATTTCACAGATCTAACCAATTAATGTGGATTTTACTAGCTAGCTGCGCAGGTTTCACCCTGTTGTATATTAATTATATGATTAGTTGAGTAAATTCCTATGATAATACAGTATCAAGCAGTAGTACAATTTCTGCAAGTAATATTAGAGTTAAATTTTTAATAGTAAATATTGTATAAATTAAATAAAAAATATTTACTGCATATTGTATTTTATATATCTTAATAAAAATATTTTTAGGATATTTGTAATAAACCAAATATCTGTATTTTTGAAATATTTTTATTTAGATTTGATATTGATTATTTGTATAAAGCAAGAATGGAAACACTTAATCATGGCAAGTGTCCTTATACAGAATTAAAATCTAATTCACAAAAAAAAAACAAATTAAGCTAGCAGCAAAAGATTTAAATATTCAAACAGCAGAACTTTTTCATAATCATCAATTTGTTAATTTATTAAGCAATAATATAGTAAGACTTGAATCAGCAAAGCTTAAGATTGTAAATAAAGATATGACTCTTGATTATTAACTTAAAAATGAAAATAAAGAACAATATTATAGTTCTTTTGTTTAAATATATGATAAAATGCTAATTTCTCATGATGGATATCAAAAATTAGCAGCTGTAGATACATATATAATTTAAGAATATTTATTTAAGCAGCAATATATAGATATTAATAATTAAATGAAGCAACACTTACTATTAGTTTTGTTTAATATTAATGAGTATACAAACAATATTATAGAAAATATAGATTTAAACAATACTAAAGATAGAAATGCAATATTTAGATCGATTAGATCTTTATTAATGGTTTTAGTACCAGTTTTAACTATATCTAATCTGGTTGTTTTTTATTTTGGTGACAAAATTAATATTAAAGTTGGTAGAGATGGCCGAAATATTAGTAAAAAGCAAAGTCATGTAATACTAACAATTAGTATTTTAAATAAAGATAAAGCAGTATTAAGTCCAAATCATATATATAGATAAAATAATTATTATTACTATGATTGTATTTTTATTATTTAATTTAATTTATTATTTTATTTTAAAGTATTTGTTTATATATTGGCAAAGAAAATTAACTGTGTTTATCAAAAATTTACATAAGAACTTGAAGAATTAAAAAGTATTGAATTTGTTGATAATTTAGGGACTGTATGGCTTATAAAATTTTTTTTCCAGAAGATTAGAAGTTTTTAGCACTTGTATTAGGGCTTAATGCAGCCAATTCAAATTATTTTTGTTTGTTTTACAATTGCCATAAAAATGAATGTGCTAATATGAAATTAAATTAGAATAATGGTTTAAATACATAAGATATTTTTATTAGTATAAATAAATTTATTTAAATTATATAATTATGATAATTTATTAACAAATAGGACACAAGCATTTAATGCTTTTTGAGAACATTGATCAAAGCAATTAGATACCTGATAAGCTACATACTATGTTATGTATAACAGATATTTTATTTCAATATGCTTTTTATGAACTTTCAGATGATCAAAAAAATTTTGCTAAAACAATATGCCAATTAATAATTGCTGAGATGAAGCGAATTGAAGTACATTTTGAATTTTTTTTTCCTACAACTAATTCAAGCCTGTGGACATAGACTTCTTTAATGGGCTCTGACAAACTCAAAATATTACAACATTTTCAAATATTTAAATTTTTTAATTTGGATAGAGGAAAAAAGTAGAACATTTTTGGCATGAATTTTACAGACTTTACAAAATAATGTGTCAACAAAATTTAACTGATATAGAAATTAATACATTTAAAATTGATACAAAATGATGGATTGGAGTGTGGTGACTTAGTGAAGTGGTTAAGTTGTTACACCCCCAAGTGGCAAGTTGGTAAATAGAGGTTTGAAACCCACTGATGGTGAAATTTCGAATATTCTGCTTGTATAATGGCTACTATCTTTCAACGATCGGTTGGAACAGGATCTCTGTAACCTTGGTTACATCAACAAGATTGGGAGAACATGGGGTATTTGTGTTATGTATAAGTTATACAAAAGCATGCAAGCTGATATTAGTTGGTGCAAACCTAAGATAAGACTTCATACTCATATAAACCCAAGGAACTGAAAAGATAGATGCCCGCTTGGCAAAACCTGAGTAGAAATGTAGCACAAACTTTCGATGATAACTACTGGAATAGGCTTCACCTGAGGTTGGAGAACTGGATGCAGCAAGAACACCTGGCAAGTTGTTTCACCAACCAGGCCGCCGGCTTGAGCATTGACTGGAGAAAAAAGATTAGCAGATATCACAGGACCGGTGTCCCTTCCAGACCATCTGGATTGGTAGTTTGAGGAGACTGGCTAGAGGGTACTGAAAAAGAAGGTACCAGATTGTCTTAAAGGAAGAGTATCAGGGTTTGGATGAACTTTGCAAGAGCCAGGAGGTTCAGCAGTGTGGCCTGCTCATAAAGGCTTAAAACCTATTTGGTGAACTTATCTGTGGAAAGAATTGGTGGTGTGGCCTGCTCGTAAAGGTATAGAATCTATCCAGCAAGACTTATTCGAAAAAACTAAGTAATATAGTAATAGTGGGTACCGGACTGCTCTAGCAGATGATGCACTTGAGGATGAATTAGTTAACCATGCTGATAGTCCTATAGGTGGCTGCAAGGATCTTGGAACTTGGACTGACTTATGTATCATATGTTCCAGGTGAGATTAAATGGATTGGCATAGGAAACTTGGATCAGAGGGTTTAATCAGGTAATCTAAATAATAGTGGGTTACAGGTATAGCATCTAGTGTAGAACCTAGTAATAGGTAGACTACTTAAATTAGATGCTTAAAAGACACAGGTATAGTTAGAATGTATCTTCATCAGAATGTACTTGTCTGAGGTTCCTTTGATAAGGGCACTACATGATTCTATAATCTAATAAAAGCGAAAAGCCAAAGAGGCTGACCTTGACTATAAAAAAAAAAAAAAAAAACAAAACGATGGATTAAGGATTTTAGTCAACCTACAATTAGAAAATTAAATTTACCAAATCAACAGCAAGGGATGTATTCTAAAAAAAACATAACACCATATATGTATATGCTAGTTCAGCATATATCTAAATTTATACATGATTTAAAAAACAAAGGATTGTCATTGCACTTATTTTTAACTTCTAGTCTAGAAAAAAAAATCATGAACATGTAAAAACTATTTCTTTATTTAAACAATTTTTATATAATTTATTTTTATATTTACTAATATTGTATTCTATTTAGATATGACTTTTTTTTTCTGAAACAACAATGAGTGGAAGTAAAATTCATAAACTCATAGTATATGATATTATAGAATATAAAAATCGACAAATATATTATCAAATTCATAATATTCCTATAGCTTATTCACACAAAGTTGTTAAAATTAAAAATTAGATTTTTAAATAAGTATATAATTTAATAAAAATTTTATTTACTTATTCAGAAATAAAATCTTGAACATCAATTTTAAATGAACAAGTTATTAAACCATATAACAAATGATAATGATGTTTTCTGTATACATGTTCTTTCCAAACAAAATTAACTTGATATGTCTCAATCTTATTTTCCATCAAAACATAAGCAACCATTTCTAATCCATCTTCTTTACTGCCCCATTTATCATTATTTAATAAACTTGCTACTTCTTTATAACCTGTGCTTCAAAACTAACTATATATTTTTTTTGTGATGCAATAAATAAAATGTAGAAATATGGCGAAATAAAGTAATAAATAATCTTTCAGAGAAAGGTTCTAGTTGAAATGTTTTTTTTAACAACATTTCGACCAAACTGGAGCCGTTTCTTGACTTGAATAATAAATGTATTTCTAAAATGTTCAATATCGTAGCTTGAGGAAGCAATTAAAGTATATATATGCAGAATTATTTTATTGTTCTGATGTTTAGTTTTTTCGTATTTAACAAAAGAACTTTGAGATTGATATGGAGAACATAAGTTTGGTGGACAAAGATAGCAAAGATATATTGAACCCATTTGTCACAGTTGTCATGGGTACAGATATAAAAGTGATTTGTTTATACTAAATTTACAGTATTCGTTTATATATTAAAAAAATCAAAATCCGCCCATATGTTTACAACTGTTTTCATAAATTCTGGAACATCTGACAATAAAGTTTCAATCCAGATAAATCCGTTATCCATTTACCTGCATTGACTTATCCGGATATCCATCCATTTATTTCAGATATTCGAAATGGATTAACCAAATCATCCGAAGTATTAGGAAGAACTATCCTAGTATTACCACTAAAAAATTTTCCAGACCAAACAGACTTCAAAATTGAGCATTATATAGAAGAAATACGAAAAATCAAAGTAAATTAAAAATTATTTATAGTTCTACATTTTGCCTATGAAACTGCCACCTGCGCATTAGCAAA